AAGGTTCCTGTTCTCAAGAACTTTATAGTTTAACAAAGGATACATATTTTTACTATCAAAGCAATTGCTCTATAATCTAAGTGCATGATGTTAGAAGCAGTTAGTACTATAAGAGCATATAAAAAAGATCTGGAGATTTCTGCTTCTGCTATGATAGAATAGCATATTTGGACCAATCTTCCCACCAAGAACATGTATAAAAACTATATAAAAAGTTTTTAAGAAAAGAAAAAGCAGATGTCTGAAGAGAATAACTAAGACAGCCAGGATTCTGGGCACTAAGATCCTAAAGAAAAGTAAACCACACAGAAGTAAAACTGGAATTCTTCACTATATTTTTCCTCAAAGGATTTACTAATTCCTAAGCCAGGAGTGAGGTGGGATGAGCGCTACAATGGTACAGGAAGCAAAGAAGCCACTCATTTAAAAAGGGTAGCTAAGAAGTTAATGAAATAAGCAGAATTTTCATCAGTTTTGTGAGTTTAGGACCTGTTATAGAGGAGGGGTCCTGGTAAATAACTCAGGCTTTCAGCTTAAACCCTTGAAGGGATGTACTGTAGGAATAAAGACAAACTGGAGATAAACTAGCCTTCACAGAGACTGAAATCCAGCATCAGACTATCTCAATCCTTGATTATATCAAGATGATTTGAGTTTCCCTTAATTGCCAGAAGACCTCAAATTCTTTTTGTAGTAATATATCATTGTCCAAAGCCTTTTCATCTTTTCATACCTAACATTTGGGCTTCAATTTGAAAAGTTATCAGACATGCCATAGGTAGAGCAAAATGACTAAAAATTAAGATAGGAAACAATTGATAAGGTAGACCTAAAAATGATGCTGATATTTATATTGTCCCACATGGACTTTAAATAATGATTATATGTTTAAGAAAAAGGGATGAGAAAATGGGTAATTTAATTAGAAAATGAATCTATTCATAAGAATCAAATGGAAATTTTAGAAAAGGGATGAAAATATGGAAAAGAGCATAAAAGACACGTGAGATATGACAAAAGGTCAAACATATATGTAAATGAAGTCTAAGAAGGAGAGGGGGGAGAGAGAGTGAGCAGAATCAATATTTAAAATATTGGTGGAGATATTTTCAAAATCAATAAAAGACATCAAGCCAGTAGTGGCTCACACCTGTAATCCCAGCACTTTGGAAGGCCAAGACAGGTGGATCACAAGATCAAGAGGTCGAGACCAGCCTGGCCAATATGGTCAGGTGAAACCCCGTCTCTACTAAAAATACAAAAATTAACCAGTCATGATGATGCACACCTGTAGTCCCAGCTGCTTGGGAGGCTGAGGCAGAAGAATCACTTGAATCCAGGAGACGGAGGTTGTGGTGAGCTGAGATCATGCCACTGCACTCCTGCCTGGGTGACAGAGTGAGACTCCATTAAAAAAAAAAAAAAAAAACATCAAGCCAGAAATTCTGGGAGCTCTAGTAATCTCAAGCCGGATAAATAAAAGAAACCGTACCTAGGTAATCAGCAACACTACTGAAAACCAAAGACGAAGAGAAAATTTTACCAGAAGGATGTATTAACATCAAAGGACCCAATAATAAAACTAACAAATGATATACATGGAAATGATGGAATCCAGAAAGCAATGGACTGGGATTTGTAAACTGCAGGAAAAAAAAAATACTGCCAATAGGGAACTGTATAGACATCAAAAATTTACTTCAAAAATGAAGGTGGAATAAAGACAATTTCAGCCAAACAGAAACTGTGCAGACCTAGACGAAATAGTTTTTTAAGGTAGAAGGACTATGGAAGCATGGAAATGCAGAAAGAACTAAAGAGGGTTCACATGTCAGCAAATGTAAATAAGTGTTGATTGTGTAAAATAATAATGTGAGGCTTAAAATATAAATACTATGCAGTGAATATGTCAAGTATATATTATCAATATGTGTAGAAAATATATACAATAAATCAATAAATATACTTAAAATATACACATATACATGCACATACGTATATGCTTAAAGTGTATATAACGTATATACGCACAACAGCATAAAAAGTAGAAAGGCATAAATTGAGTTGTTATGTTTTAAGGTTCTTGTATTGTCTGGGAAGTGATTTTTAAAAGCCCAATTCTGAGTAAACTGTAATAAGTCAACGATGTATACTGTAATCTCTAAAATAACTACTAAAATAATAATAAAAGAATATGTTACAAGCTAATAGAGGGGAAAAATGTTAAGTAAAAAATATTTCATGAATCCTAAGGGAGGTATGGAAGAAGAAGAAAGGAAACAAAATAGAAGTGACAAATAGTACAGTGATAGTTTTAAAACCAAATATAGCAGTAACCATACTACATGTAGGCCAGGTGCGGTGGCTTATACTCGTAATCCCAGCACTTTAGGAGGCTGAGGCAGGCTGATCACTTGAGGCCAGGAGTTCGAGACCAGCTTCACTAATGTGATGAAAACAGTCTCTGTACAAAAATTAGCTGGGTGTGATGGCATGTGCCTGTAGTCCCAGCTACTCAGGAGGCTGAGGCACGCAATTGTTTGAACCCAGGCGATGGAGGGTGCAGTGAGCCGAGATGGCACCACTGCCCTCCAGCCTGGGCAACAGAGTGAGACTCTGTCTCAAAAAAAAAAAAAAAAAAAAAGAAAAGAAAAATTATACTAAATATAAATAGACTGAATCCTTCAGTTAAACATTGTCATTCTGGATTTTTTAAAAAACAGCTAATCATATGCTGCTTATAAGAGACATATCTTAAATATAAAGACATAGCAAACTGAAAGTAAAAGATTTGAAAAGTTATAATGAAATATAGCTGGTGTAGCTATATTGATATCAGAGTTTTTTTTTTTTTTATAATACATGTTTTGTAATCCCAACTTTTTCTTTTCTTTTTTTTTTTGAGACAGAGTTTCACTCTTATTGCCCAGGCTAGAGTGCAATGGCATGATCTTGGCTCACCGCAACCTCCACCTCCTGGGTTCAAGCAATTCTCCTGCCTCAGCCTCCCGAGTAGCTGGGATTACAGGAGTGTGCCTCCATGCCCGGGTAATTTTGTATTTTTAGTAGAGATGGGATTTCTCCATGTTGGTCAGGCTGGTCTCGAACTACCAACCTCAGGTGATCCACCCACCTAGGCCTGCCAAAGTGCTGGGATTACAGGCATGAGCCACCGTGCCTGGCTTTATAATATATTTTTATGTAGACAAATAGAGAAAACTAAAATAAAAAGGATTACGAGACATTAGGAGGGACATTTTATTATTTTAAATGAGTTAATTCATCAGGAATATGTAACCTTTACAAATTTATTATATCTAATAACCTAAAAATATATATATATATATTAATAATCAGTTTTTCATTTAGTTCCCCAGTCTTGGGAGTTCAGAGGAGGCTGAGAAGATGACTGAGACCAAGATAAGGGTGGGATAGACTGCAGGGTAGAAAGAGAATTCAAGGCAGAAAGAAGAACGTTTTCAAAGACTAGAGGCGAGAGCTTAAAAAACTGGGCAGATTCGGTACTTCATGCCTGTAATCCTAACACTTTGAGAGGCCAAGGCGAGTAAAACAGAAACCCCGTCTCTCCTAAAAATACAAAAATTAGCTGGACATGGTGGCACACATCTGTAATCCCAGCTACTTGGGAAGCTGAGGCACAAGAATGGCTTGAATCTGGCAGGCAAAGGTTGCAGTGAGCCATACCACTGCACTCCAACCTGGGCAACAGAGTGAGACTCTGCCCAAAAAAAAGAAAAAAGAAAAAAAGAAAGAAAGAAGGAAGGAAGGAAAGGGAGGGAGGGAGAACAGTGTAGTCTGATGATGTAAGATTGATAGGAATGTGACTGGGTGGAAAGAAGATTGTTGGATAAGAACAATGATTGGGGGGCTAGAAAATACAGGAATCTTTGATATTTAAAAGATGACACTTTTTCCTAAAAACCGCTATATAAAACTAAAGTGTTATATAGTCACTTGATCAAATTTGTCTCAGAGGATCTCTCTTAATACTGCGGGAGGAATGAATTGGAGGAGGGTGGCACTACTAGCAAGGAGACCTATTTCAGTAATCTCAGTGAGATGATGTTGGCTGAGGCTGTAGAGATAGAGAAGAGAACACATTTGTAAAATAAAAGTATCTCATAGCTTGTGAAATATTTAAAATGTAGGCAGGTTACTGGACTTACTCTTAGATTACCAAACAAAAAAAAAAATAGTAATAGACCTAGATTTGTATTATTTAAGAGAAATTTTAAGGACCGTAATTTTTTTCTTTTTGTCTACAATACCAGCTGCAGCGCCGTGTTATATTCCATTTCCAAAGATCAGATTTTGTAATATCACTGTGGGTTGGTCATAGCCACAGGTTAGTTTTAATACTAGAATATAAAGTTGGAGCAGTTAAACTCCCTTGACTTTCTGTTTTAGAGTTTCCTCCCTGTTTTTCGTTTTAGTTGAGCTATTTAGATTTGACAGATCTAAATACTCTGTGGGCATATGTTTAAGTCTCTCTTCAAGGAATGTATATGGCTTTAAGATCATTAAGCCAAATGATGTGAAGCCAACCTTCACACACAAGTGAAGGTTCCTTGCCCAGGCACAACTTAAGACATATTTGTTAACATCCTTTCTCAGACATAAAATTCTCTCTCAGAAGAGAGATAGTAACTCATCAGCTAATGATATTATACATTAATGCAGTTGTTTTGTTTTTGTCTAACTTCCCCTACCAGAGTGTACTTTCAGTGAGGACAGGGACAGGGACGTTGTCTCTTTTGTTCAAGGCTGTATCCCCCTGCACCTAGATTGGTACTCATCATATATACCAGGTGTTAAGCAACTATTTATTTGAAGAATGAAGGAATATTTGTGTTAAGCAAATCAACTTGACTAAAAGACAGATGTTTCTTTTCAATTTTATAAATTAATGTTCACTTAAAGTGTTGAAAGTCTAATATTAAAATGTTTGAAAGTAAAGTGATTATTTTTAATGTTTGCAGGACTATCTCAAGCAGGTGCTGGACATTGATCTTCATGCTCAGATCCATTTTGGCAGGGTTTTTATGAAACCAGGGTATGAAAATAATCTTGTTATCTCATATATGGGGTTGGTTTGGCTTGCTTTAACTAACAAACTTTTAAATGCCTTCTTTTTACGTTTTCTACTATGAATTAACTACACAAAAAAAAGAAATATAGTATTAGGATCCTTTGCATAAGCGCAGCTCCTAATGAAATAGGCATTCATCTTCTTTATGAGTCAGTGAGTTTGGTCTAAACAAAACACAGCAACTTTCCAAACTTTTTCTCCTTTTTAATTCTCATGCCTAGTTCCTTCTTCCTCTTTTTTCCCCCCACACTGCTTCTTTATTTTAAAAAATAATTAATATGGGAACTTTCAAATATACAAAAAAGTAGGGAGTACAACAAACCCCATGTACGCATCACCCAGCTTCAATAACTATCAACATTTTTCTTTTTTTTTTTTTTTTATCAATACCCCTACCCCACCCTGCCTTTTAGTGGAGAGAGGGGGCTGGATTGTTTAAAAGCAAATTCTAGGCATGTCATTTTGGCATACCTCTGAAATAATAATACTAACAACAACATTCTCTTACATAATCACAATGTTATTTTCTCATCTAACAAAATAAATATTTTCATATCATCTAATATCCTGATCATATTCAAGTTTCTCCCACATATCAAGAGAAAGAATGCCTTTTTATAAGTTTTGTTTCATAAGGATTCCATTGAGGTCCATTCAGTGTATTTGTTTAAGCCTCTATTAAATGAGAACATTTTCTGCCCCCACTCTTTGTTGTTGTGCCACTGCCTTGCTAGACAAAATGGATCACGTGTCCTGATAAATGTATTCGGTTTATTACTTCCTTAGGTATGTTCCTCTGTCACTGATACATGCTATAGATTGAAAGATATAAAGGCTTGATTAAATTCAGGTTTAATTTTTTTTCCTTTGCAAGAATGTTTCGTTAAGTAGGCTTTCACACTGCATCCTACTGTCTCCCAGGAGGAAAGAAAAATAACCATGATTTTTCACATCTCTTAAAGACTAATAACCCCTAAAGAAGATGGAGATTTTGAAGTCAGTTATAAATCCTCAAAGGCTGCCAAATTTTGGTGTTGGTGAAACATATATGGCCATATCTTTAAGAAATAGTCTATCTGTTTAGACCTTTGCTACTCTATTAGCCTATGATTTCTTGTTCAAAGACCTCAACTGTATGGCTGAGAGTTCCAGCACACCACACCCCATGCTGTCGGGGACAACACTAATGATGCTTTACTGCTAATTAAACCTAGGAGGGGATGGAGTAGGGGCTTCCCAATTGTTATACGTGAGCTATGGGAACCAGCAACAAATTTCAAAAGCCTTTAAACTGTCAAGCTAGCCCTCCTAATAAGTCAGTTCTAGGACAGAGATCAGGCTTTACCTCCATGATTTGGCCATTTTTAGTATAGAACTAAGATTATCCCTAAAGCTTTGTCCACAGTTTGATAAAATTCTTGGCAATATATTTCTGTAGTTTCCTGTTGAGCATGCCCCAATATGGCTGCTGCTGACAGGGCCTTTTTATTATTGAAACTGTTGGATTTGGGCTGGGCATGATGGCTCATCCCTGTAATCCCCATCACTTTGGGAGGCCAATGCAGGTGGATTGAACTCAGGAGTTCCAGACCAGCCTGGGCAACATCATGAAACCCCGTCTTTATAAAAAGTACAAAAATTAGCCAAGCGTTGGTGGCTCGTGCCATTAGTCCCAGCTACATGGGAGGCTGAGGCCAGAGAATCGCTTGAGCCTGGGAAGCAGAGGTTGCAGTGAGCTGAGATTACGCCACTGCATTCCAGCCTGGGTAACAGAGTGAGATCCTGTCTCAAAAAATAAAAAATGAGAGAAAGAAAAGAAAGAAACTATTGGATCTAGATCATTCTTATCAATAATATTTTGAGCCCAGGCACGGTGGCTCATATCTGTAATTCCAGCACTTTGGGTGGCCAAGACGGGCAGATCATAGGTCAGGAGTTCGATACCAGCCTGGCCAATATGATAAAACCCAATCTCTACTAAAAATACAAAAATTAGCCAGGCGTAGTGGTGTAAGCCTGTAGTCCCAGCTACTCAGGAGGCTGAGGCAGAAAAATCACTTGAACCTGGGGGGTGAAGGTTGCAGTGACCTGAGATCACGCCACTGCACTCCAGCCTGGGTGACAGAGCAAGACTCGATCTCAAAAAAAAAAAAGAAGAATATTTTGTCTTAGCAAATATTATTATGCTATTGGGTATACCTGTTTTTTTTTTTTTCTGAGCCAATGGGCATTACTAATTTGATTAGAATACAGAGGATATCCCAAAAGTATATGAATGTGCTTCTCAAAACCTCACAAATTGCATTGGGCTGAGTGCAGTGGCTCACATGTATATTCCCAGCTTATATTCCCAGCTTATGGCACTTTGGGAAGCCATGGGGCTTAAGCCCAGAAGTTGGAGACCAACCTGGACAACATGGCAAAACCCCATCTCTACAAAAAATACAAAAATTAGTCCCAGCTATTTGGGAGGCTAACGTGGGAGGATCACCTGAGCCCAGGAGGTGGATGTGGCAATGAGCCATGATAGTGCCACTGCACTTCAGCCTGGGCAGCAGAGTGAGACCCTGCCTCAAAAAAATAATAATGAATAATTGATGTTTCGTTTGCAGAGGGAAAGAAGCAAACATAACTTGCACTCACCTCTAGAGAAGTTATTATATAGTATCTATTATTTAAAATATTCTCAGTGCCTGTGATAACTTTTATACCCTTTTTTTCAATCGTTATTTACCACTCACTTCAACTTTAGCAGTTCATCAATTCCTAATGTTTAATTTTCTCCCTTAAAATCAGAACACTCTGTGACCTCAGCCATTGTGTAAATGCTGTTACATTCTGATCTAAAGTGGAGAACTGAATAATAGGTTGAGTTCCAAGGAAATGGCTTCTAGAGCTTAAACAAAAAATTCACAGTTTAGCAATAGGACATTTATGATAGCAATGCATAATAACAAAATATTTTTTGTAATGGAATCCTATTTAAAATGAATACCTTTACAGAAATTACATTACCTACCTGCAAGATGCAAAAGATTGCTTAAACTGGCCCTATGATTTAAATGGGCTTTAAATACAGTGGAAGGAAGAAACTGTTATACATTCTCTCCTCGTTATTATCTGTGGGTTTGCTAAAATAAAGTAGTTTCAGAGTTTGAATGGGCTTCTTTTAGTTCACCAGAATTTTATACTTGTCTAAAGGTAATAAGAACTTTAAGGTAATTGCTACTTAATATTAGAACAAAAAGAAATACAAACCAAACAAATACAATTTGGCTTTGCTATTTCCACATAACAGTTCTTTCAGAATGCAATTAAGCTCTTTCATTTTAGAGACAAAGGTACTCAGAAAAACCTCTGGAGTATTAGCAACCAGACCGACCAATTACTATTTTTATTGGGTCATCTACAGTGAGCATAGCTGTTATTAAGAACAAATCTTTGAAATTATTTTCATCACACATAACTAATAATTATCAAATAACTTATCCATAAATCAGTATCAAAACCTAATCTCAGCCAGGTGTGGTGACTCATGCCTGTAATCCCAGCACTTTGGGAGGCTGAGGCAGGTGGATCACCTGAAGTCAGGAGTTCGAAACCAGCCTGGCCAACATGGTAAAACCCTGTCTCTGCTAAAAATATAAACAAAACAAACAAAAAATCGAATCTCATTTTTCTAAAACACAGCAAAGAATCAAGAAGTATGCAAAAACAAACAAACAAAAATAGCCTCGGAATAGCCAAAATAGGTGTCCAAAGATCATATACTACCACTACATAACCATCCTGTCAGATCTTTATCCAAATATAAGCTTAAGTTAGAACAACCTTAGTTCAAATCTGTTCCCCCACTTAGTAGCTGAGTGACTTGGACCACATTGCTTAATCTCTCTGAATCTCAACGTTTCCTCATATATAAAGTGGGATAATAATTGTTACTTTATAAGCTTGTTGTGAGACTTAAATGAAATAATGAATGTGATGCATAGATGTTACTTTAAAAATAGATATTTTAGTCAGCACCAGTGGCCCACACATATAATCTCAGCACTTAGAGAGGCTGAGACTGGAGGATCGCTTGAGCTGAGGAGTTCAAGGCCAGCCTGGACAACATAACAAGACCTCATCTCTACTAAAAATAAAAAAATCAGCTGAGCATGGTGGTGCATGCCTTTAGTCCTAGCTACTTGGAAGGCTGAGGCTGGAGGATTACTTGAACCCAGGAGATTGAGACTGCAGTGAGCCATGGCCAAGCCACTGCACTGCAGCCTGGGTGACAGAGCCAGACCTTGTCTCAAAAAATAAATAAAAACATATATTTTTATTGTTACTGTACATTATTTTCATCCTAACAATATCACTATTGCTACTATTCTCCGGTTCTCAAACTTAAAACCACCTTTAATGGTCAAGATGATAGCAGTCTCGTATTACAGGATTCCACAGGAAAAAAAAAAAATTGGGGAAGGAAGGAATAAAAAAACAGAAACAAGAAACAAGAACTACAGAAACATTACAATGTGGGTTTATGGCTTCTGGGTGAAAACAATCTATAGTATTCTTGTGACCTAACATCACTGTAGTACAGCAGAGTAGAACACATTAACAATGATGGCTATAAATCATCAAAGAGTCAGTGTCACCATATTATTGCAAAAGGTAATGAGTGGTCTATTTTTGAAAGCTCGACCTGCAAAAAAGTAAAAATAAAAACAATTTGAGTGCTTAAAAGGTTAATATTTCATCTGTGTGAAAATTTCAGTATTCCCTAACAATTCCACATTGCTTAAGTTTCATTAATACAATGAGATTTTTTGCTAAAATTCTATATAAAGGGTAATTAATAGAAAAAAAAACACTATTCTCAACTGCCCACTCTATGCCACTCACTCCTCCCACCCCACCTCCCATGATAAGAGTTCATGTCAAAATCTTGAGGAAGTATAATTTGAGAACATTTTAAAATTACTATTAATTTCATTCTAGTCATATTTAACATTTCAAAAATAATGTCCTGATAAGAAGTGTTTATGTCTATGCTAAGGATAGTTTTTAAAGGCTAACACAGAAGGAGCAAGATTGAAAGAAAAAAGTTAAGAAATACTCATCTTGAACAAAGGCAACTATCTAATAGACATATTATCAGTTAGTCTTCTGCTTTTAAGAATGATTGTTGTAAATCGCCAGCAAAAGTAGTATAAACATTATTGACTAGAGGGGTGGGAAAACTTGAAAACTCCAAGATTTGGAGTCCATTTCTATGGCACTGACAAGAAGAAAAAAAAGCAGGCTGATTTTCTTTAAGCCAGAAAGTGTGGTTACTTGAAAACAGAAAATGCTAAAAACAAACCTATTTAAATGTCTATGAAATACTGCAGAGTATAAAGATGTAAAGGCGAGTCAACAGAAAGGTGTTTTTTATATATGTGTATAGATTACAAAAAAACTAGAGTACTTAATGTATTCATCATAATGCTTAGCAATCACTAACAAGTGACTTTTTTTTTCTAGCTTGCCAACAACCTTTGCAACTTTGGATATTGATGGTGTAAGAAAAATAATCTTTGCACTACCTGGTAAGAATAACAGATTGTTTCCTTTGCTTTTTCTGGAAAAATAGCCAAAACTTTTTTAACTTCTTATGTGACCAGTACCCTATTAGATCGCTTGGTTTGAAATCTGAAAGATCTGGGCTCTAGTCTCAGCTTTTCTAAATGACCAATCAAACTCTGAGGAGGTTTCTTCACCTATAAAATAAAACTAATATCTACGTCATAGGGTTGGTGTGAAAGTCAGATCAGATAATATATATCAAAGCACGTTCCAAATCCTAAGATGATAATCAAGTATTAGCTGTCACTAGATCTTTCTGGGGCACCTGCTTTTTCCTTACAGGAAATTGGTCGAAGTTAGCAGCTTAATACCTCTCATAACCAGAAGTATTGTGCTCTAGAGGCCAAAGGGCCTTGAGTCACCCATGCAAATACCAAATCAAAAAATAGAAAGCTGCCTCTGGTCCTTGCCAGATTTGGGGTGGTTGAGGGGAGAGGGAAGAGGAAAGGCCAGGCTACTAGAACTAGTGCTTCTCAGCCAAATCCACTCATCATCAGTCTACAACTTCCCCATTCCCACCCTTGCCCCAACATGAGCAGAAACTCACATGTTCAGATTACAGAAAAAGCAAAGTGATTGAGTTCATGAGGATTTTTAAATTCAAATTTTTAGTCATTTGGGGTTATACATTTAAAGTCATGATGAATCTTGATAAATTTTAAGAGTTTAAAAGTTTTGTGCATCTATTTGTTATTTTTTTAACTTTTAAAATTATCCTCTGATCATTCCATTCAGCCCTTTATTGTTTGGCACAGATTCCTTTAGAAAATAACCTACTTATGTCGGGGCACAGTGACTCATGCCTGTAATCCCCGCACTTTGGAAGGCCAAGGTGGGCGGATTACCTGAGGTTTGGAGTTTGAGACCAGCCTGGCCAAACATGATGAAACCCCATCTCTACTAAAATCACAAAATTAGCCGGGTATGGTGGGGCATGCTTGTAATCCCAGCTACTGGGGAGGCTGAGGCAGGAGAATCCCTTGAACCTAGGAGACGGAAGTTGCAGTGAACCAAGATCGTGACATTGTACTCCAGCCTAGGCAACAAGAGCAAAACTCCGTCTCAAAAAGAGAGAAAAGAACCTACTTATTTCTTTGAGATTTACAAATCTCATGACTTTAGGTTACTTATTTGCTTTTTATGTCAAATAAATCTCAAAAGGGAGATGTAAAGAAAGGGAAGCAGGCAGAAAAATGTTAAACTTTAAAAACATTTTAAGCCCCTATATAAGCATAAAAGAGATTCGATTTCTATCATATAGACAATTTTAAGAGAGAGGACATTTAAGTAAAATAGTCCTCAGATGGTATCTGTGACATGAAACTCCTTAGGACCTTTCATAATTCCTGTGGATGCTCTGATCGCCATTATATAAAGAAATGTGCTCCTTTCCCTGGCTTCATTTTGCCTGGAAGAGACTCTTTTGTCTACAGAAGATATGATTTAAACTTCAGACCACCAGTGATAGTATAACAAAGAATATTATTGTGGGAACCTGTTTCACCATTATGCCAAAAATGTTATAAAATTAAAACCTATTTTCAAATTCGTACTTTTAATTTGAAACCTTAGCTGCTCAGCCTGAGTGAACCAACAGAGGGCAGCAGAAACTCACATGTTCAGATTGTAGAATGTGCAGAGGTTCAGTTTACAAGGATTTTCTTTTTTTTCTTTTTTTTTTTTTTTGAGACAAAGTCTAGCTCTGTCACCCAGGCTGGAGTGCAGTAGCACAATCTCAGCTCACTGCAACCTCTGCCTCATAGGCTGAAGCCATTCTCCCACCTCAGCCTCCCAAGTAGCTGAGACTACAGGCTCTTGTTACCACCCCTGGCTAACTTTTGTATTTTCTGTAGAGACGGGGTTTCATCATGTTGCCTTTGCTGGTCTCAACTTCTGAGCTCAAGCGATCCACCCATTTTGGCCTCCCAAAGTTTTGAGATTACAGGCATGAGCCACTGTGTCCAGCCTTAAAAGGATTTTCAGTTTCAAAAGTGTATTTCTGCTTTCCTGCAGGCCATGCATTTAAAGCCATCCCTAATCTCGACAAGTTTTAAATCAAAGTTTTATGTATTTACTTCCTTTTTTTTTGACATTTTAACACTGCTCAAGTGACACATGCTCACTATTTTAAAAATTAGAAAATATAGATAAGCATAAAAAAATGTTAACCATAATCTCCCAACACGTAGGTAGATAACAACTATTACAAGTTTTCGATGTCAATCCTTCCAGTCCTTTTTCATACATAGCAAGACCCTGCTTCTAAAATAATTAGAGAAATTCATTTTTTATACAATAATTTTATAAAGTAGTAGTATTATAAAGAGTTTATAATCATTGATGAACAATGGCTTTTTTATATGTTTGTTTGGGTTTTTTGTTTTGCTTTTCCAGGAAAAAAAAATTCTATCTCCTTGTATTTTGAGGCAAGGGAAAGTAACTGATTTTTCCATTGAAATTATTAGTATCACTTGTCACTTTTTGGACCTTAAAAATCTATTCTTAACTGCTTTTGTAGGTAAGAGAGAATTGTATATATGATTCAAGCTAATAATAGGCTAAACTGACCATTGCCTTTTAACTTGACGATGCAATAAGCAGTATTTAGCCATGCCAAGGAAACCTAAAAATCTAGTATCCCATTCCCCACTCCAGGATATACACATTCATACTTACATAGAACTGTATAAAAGTATGAAAACAATTGGAATTTTAGAACCAGAAAAGATCTTGAGACTCATGTAGTCCAACCTTTCATTTCATAGATGAGTAAAGTTAGAATCAAAAAACTCTGCAACTTGCCAAGATCACACAGCTTGGTTAGATAACAATGCCACACAAGAAATCAAATCTGTTATATACAGCCCAGTGGTTGTTTCTTCACAGCCCACCCTTCCTCTTTTGAAGTATATGACACACCTAGATTTCTTCTTGGAAAGACATAGTGGAATTCCTCAAATTCTTCTCATAACTTTAAAAGAATTTGGTATTTGTATTAGTCTATTCAGGCTGCCATGACAGAATACCACAGACTGGGTAGCTTAAACAACAGAAACTTATTTTCTCACAGTTTGGAGGATGAAATTCCAAAATCAAGGTACCAGCAAGGTTGGCTTCTAGTGAGGCCTCTCTTCCTGGCTTGTAGACAGCAATGTTTTAGTGAAAACTCCTGGTGTCTCTTTCTCTTTTTATAAGGACACCAGTCCTATTGGACTGTGGCCACACCCTTATGACCTCATTTACCTTAATTACCTCCATAAAGGCCCTAACTCCAAATATAGTCAATCATATTGGAGTTATAACTTTATTATATGAATTCAATCCATAACAGTATTCATCTCCAGGTTCTTAAGACACATTTTAAATCATTTGGCTTTACTTTTTTTAATTTAAAGAAACACCTAGGCAGAGAAGATTATAAATAAGTTTCCTTATGCTTATTTATATTTTTTCATTTTTGATACCAAGCTTGTAATATTATAATTTTTAAATGCTTAAAAAATAGCAAGTAGATATATAAAACTTTTAAATGGCTTTAAGACAAGATAAGTAATGGCTTTCAACTGGCTCTGAGGAAAGCAGAAACAAATGGTATTAAACAGCTTCTGGGCATCAGAATTCTCCATTTTACTGAAAGACCCAAATGTTTACATCCCCTGTGGCATTTAGTTGACTATATATACCTCTGTTCTGGTTGGATTCAAGGCCATTCAGAAGAGGGAAAATAGTGCCTAGTCACTTCTGTCACATTCTAATACCAGAAGATATAGACAAACATAATTATTTGGCAAATTCTTACACACTGTATTATAAATAACTGCTTGGTTGACTTTCAGGGAATCCTGTATCAGCTGTGGTCACCTGCAATCTCTTTGTTGTGCCTGCACTGAGAAAGATGCAGGGCATCTTGGATCCTCGGCCAACCATCATCAAAGCAAGGGTAATGTTTTCTAATGACCAGAAACCAAAATCGAAGCCTGATAACAGTTAGGGATATGATTTTCTAACTGCCCAAAATAAATATCTAGAGTTTTATGTTAGTTTTGATGAAAAATGTGATTATATTCTCCCTTGTGTACTAGAAAATGTAGAGGAAAGGGTCCCTTTTATTCTCTTTCAGGACGTCTAAAGTGAATAATTTTATTTTTTATGTATGTATGTATTTATTTATTTATTTATTTAGAGACGGAGTTTTGCTCTTATTGCCCAGGCTAGAGTGCAGTGGTGCAATCTCTGCCCACTGCAACCTCCACCTACTGGATTCAAGCAATTCTCCTGCCTCAACCTCCTGATTAGCTGGGATTACAGGCACCCATCACCATGCCCAACTAATTTTTTGTATTTTTTAATACAGGGTTTCACCATGTTGGTCAGGCTGGTCTTGAACTCTGACCTCAGGTGATCCGCCCACCTCGGCCTTCCAAAGTGTTGGGATTACAGGCATGAGCCACCGTGCCCAGCCTAAAGTGAATAATTTTCTCCAGATAGAAATCCATATACGAATCCAGCAAGTACGGCTTAAAAACTTGAGTGATACCTAAGGACAAAACAGTCAATAGGATTTATCTGGCACTACCCTATCACTAGACCTGTCAAGAACAAGAGAAAACTCCCTTTTTCCCATGCAAACTCATAGGGACAGCAATTAACCTGCTCACTTTATGTGACTTCAATGATAAACTTTTAAAAATTCAGAAGACAAAGGACTAGAGAGAGACTCTGATGATTCAGCAGCGAAAAGGTAACCATATTATTTAGAAGGGATTGCTAAGGCTGAGAAATATTATACTATGGTAAAAGTCTCTTGGAAATTAGGTCTCCTTCTCCGTCAACACTAACTTCAATGTGATTTACTACTACTCAACTAATTATGTTATACACTTTCTATGTGACTAATGAGTAATGTCCTTAGCAATATAAACTACAATACCAAACCATTACTTTCCAAGAGTTCCAAAATAAAATCAGATATGGCAGAATGCAATGATTAGTTGATAGGAAGAACAAAAAACATAGAAGATACATTAGGCCAGGTGCAGTGGGTCTTATCTGTAATCCCAGCACTTTGGGAGGCCAAGGCAGGTGTATCACCTGAGGAGGTCAGGAGTTGAAGACCAAGCTGGCCAACATGGTGAAACCCCATCTCTACTAAAAATAGAAAAAATTAGCTGGGCATGGTGGTAGGCACCTGTAATCCCAACTATTCAGAAGGCTGAGACAGTTGAATTGCTTGAACCCAGGAGGCAGCGGTTGCAGTGAGCTGAGATAGTACCATTACACTCCAGCCTGGGAAACGAGCAAAACTTTGTCTCAAAATAAAAAGATAAAATATTAATAAAATATTGCTCTGAGAATGAAAACATTTTAAAAAATCTAGGCTTTCAATAGTCTTAACATTGACTTTTTATATACTAAGAACTTATGGACTAGGATATGAAACAATCTCCTTTTCTTAAAATTTCATGAAAAATTTAACTATTTTTTCAATAAACAGAATGATAATCAAATTGGAAATTAAGTGGAAAAATAAATAAAAACCATGTATGAATAAAAAGTATTCTGAGCCGGGCACTGTGGCTCACGCCTGTAATCCCAGCACTTTGGGAGCCAAGGTGGGTGGATCAAGAGGTCAGGAGTTCGAGACGTGCCTGACCAACATGGTGAAACTCCAACTCTACTAAAAATACAAAAATTAGCCGGGCGTGATGGCGCACACCTGTAATCCCAGCTACTCAGATTCTGATCAAGTAAGAAGTCAGAGTCATAAAGCTTAGATTTAGACAGTCAAACCAGTAATACTGAATTTACTATCTTCATATTTACTAAATTAAGGAAATAAAAATCCACATTATTATAGGAGAGAGAGAGAAAGGAAGCTTCCCTTAGACTTTGCAGATCTCTTTTGAATCCTTTCATTTATTTCTCATTTTAACTTTTACCATCTCTTCTTTAAAACAGACACTGTGGTAGCCATCTGTTCTGATCACAAAGATGAGATGGTAGTCTGTAATCAGACTCATGCTTGATATGTTGTTCTTGATGCTGCCCATTTCCTGTCAGCAAAGGATATTAAAAAGTCATACAAGAAAAATCAGTGAAATGCCTTTCTCCCACAGCAGTGTCACTGGAACGGCCAGTATGGGTCATTAGTATGCTTGGCTATGTGTTTCCTTTTGTTTCTTAGCTCCCCAAATCACCCCCACATCATTACTGACACAACTGCCACTTTAAAGCATAAACCTATATACTTCCTTGAAACATGACAAATCTTTTCTCTATGTTCTGACCATAAAAGATGCAACTTACATCTTACACACCACTTATTACTGTTCTTCAAAATAGATGCCATAGTCATTGCCTTTACCAATGCTAGCTGCTTTCAGGAAGTGGGAGTCAGCGTTAAATGCTGCAGTTGGTAAATCATACTGTTAGACTCTGATGTGGCCATTCTATGTCTCAGTGCAGAAAATGTCATCCTTGCTAGGCACAGTGGCACACTCCTATAACCCCTGCTACTCAGGAGGCTCAGATGGGAGGACTGCATGAGGCCAAGTGTTTCAGACCAGCCTGGGCAACATAGCAAAGCAAGACCCTGCCTCTAAAAAAAAAATTAACAAAAAGAAAATATCATCCTTTTGTACCAAAGCATTCAGAAGAACATCAGTTTAGAACAAACATTTCCCTTATATCCTTGGTTACTTATGGTTGGAGGTGAAATTCTTGTTATTTTCAGTACACAATAAGAAACACTTCCCAAGCATCTAATAAAAAAAAAAAAAAAAAAAAA